TTCAGATGTTATTCATAAATTAACAAAATTATTTGCAATTTTTCTTTTTTACCCCTTACTTAATTTTATTAAATTTCTAAAAATTAAATATTCACCCTCTTAATATTTATATTAGTCAAAAGCAGTATTCTGTGGAGAATTTAAATTATCAATTTTATTTTGTAAAACAGAAACACTATTTACCAAAAATCTGCTCTGAATCATAAAATAAAAAATGCAATAAAGACATTATTTTATTAAAAAAGCTTTTAATTGCTTTTATAAATAAGATATATTAAAGGACTATTGTCTTAAGAAAAATAACTTTTTTGATAATAATGAATTTTTACAAGAATTGTTTTCATTTTTAAAAAATTTTATTTAGAATAATTTATGAAGTTTTAAATCTTTTAAAATTATGTATTAATTTCAGCCTTTTAGATGAAGTAAAAACTATATTTACTAATCATAAATCAAAAAGCTTCATCAAACACAAATATTTTTAAAAGAAATTTTTTTATGACAAGTTTTGTAGATACACAACATTATCAGAAAATAAGAGTGATAACTATAGTAAATTTAATGCCAAAGTATCTAAAATTCAATAAACAGTAGATTACAGAGAATATTTTCCTAAATTTTTAAGATTACTGAGTACTTAAAAATTATATACAAAAAAAAAAAAAAAAAAAGATGCTCACATTATATCCAATTCCCCCCCGAAAAAAACAAGGTGATGGATATATAACACTTTCCAAGTCTTTAAATGTTACTAAATCAACAATTTATGGCATTTTTAAGAAGTACAATAAGACTCATTGTGATGAGAATAAGTTAAGGACTGGCAGAAAATGGTTAATTTCTGATAGAATAGAGAAAGGTAAATTGTTATAGATATCTTGAAGAATCCTCAACAAATGACATTGTCAATGATGTAAAGACATCAGAATTGAATGTATCAATGAAAACTATTACTAGATGCTTTCATTGAGCAGGACTTCAAGCTTGTCACCCAAGGAAAACCCCTTCGCTTAAGGCTAAACATCTAAAATGAAGATTAGCTTATGCTAGAAGCCATCTAGAACATGGGAGTAAATATTGGAACTCAGTTTTATGGTTAGATGAAACTAAACCAGAATTACTTGGTTACATGAACTCCCGTTATATATGAAGCTCAAAAACCAGTAAAATCCCCTCCCTACAATTAAGTATGGTGGCAAGAGTATTCTGCTCTGGGGGATGTTTTGCTACTTCTGCACCAGGAGAATTAGTGAGAGTACAGGGTATCATGGATAAAGAGCAGTATTTGGCTATTCTGAAAAATAATATAAAACAAAGTGCACTAAAGCTGTCTTTGGGATGTGACTGGACACTCAAACATGACAATGACCAAAAACACATGGCACTTAATTGCTATAAAATACTTAGATGACAGCAAAATTAAGGTATTTGTATATCCCACAAAACATCATGACCTAAATCACATCGAAAATTTATGAGCATATTTGAAGAAAAAAAGTAAGAGAAAGTACTTCAAATTTGGAGGAACTAGAAGCTATTTCTTCACGAAGAAGAATGGAGCAAAATACATATCAATGTGTATAGTGATCTTGCAAGGAACTATCAAAATTGATTAAAGGAAATAATCAAGAATAAAGGTTACATGATTGATTATTGAGGTAAGGGAGCCAATAATTTCATCCTATTTTAAATGGGTTTTTTTTGTATTATTGTTTGACATTAAAATAAAAATTTTATTATGGGCATCACTGCACATTCTTTTCAAATCCATAAGCTGATGAGCTGTGATACAGCAAAACGGTCTGTCTGTAGATGACTATATATATATATATATATATATATATATATATATATATATATATTTGTGTGTGGTCACCTCGAGGTAGTGTAATGGTTACAAGCTTGTCTTGCTAGAACAATTACAACTGAGTATTGAGTTTGATACTCACTGGGTGCCCTATACTTTCGGCCTTGTGCCACATTACTATAGAGAGATAGAGAGAGGGAAGTAATAACCAGCTAGTCATTTCCGAGCACATCTCCGTTTGTTCAGGCAATTAGCCAATCCCTGTTACAGACGTCTGCTCGGGCACATTTGTCTTTCTTCAAAGTGGTTTTCTAATACTGCAACTATGCCGAGTAGGTATTAGAGAGCACATCATCTGACGTGGTCAGTAGTTTGGACAAGCTCAGTACACTCAAACCCTCGGCCACGGTGACGTGTGACTGTGCTAGCACAACCATCGACGGTCCGCGCACAGTTCCGTCTGTCCAATTTCACTCATAAGGCTGAGGTTTCAATATGTGGTATGTATGGGTTTTTCAAGCACTCTCCAAAGTTGCCACATGATAATTGATGCTGAGATTCAAATCCGGGTCATATGATCGGAAAACGAATGTTCTCTAAAGTCTAAACTAAACACATTCATTTCTGTTTATTACCGTAAGTAAATATTTTAATGCCGGATTAAAAATAATGATTTAATTAAGAAAAAGATTAAACGGTTTGGCATTTAAAAAAAAATAAAAATCCATTAATTAATTACTTATTACATTTATTAGATTAGAGAATATATCTGGCTTTGGAGAGAGATAGTTATGGACGTTGGTCCGCAAAAGAGGTTATCTTACTTTGCACGACACAATCCCATCTTTTATCAAAGCACTTAAAAAATTTATTAATGAATAATAAATTAACCATATCGATCGTGCTGTTAAAATTCCAGGTCAAAATTTAGTTAATAAACATGTCAGGTTACGAACTTACTGATTCACCCTCGTATATGCTACATATCCCTTTATTTACATAAGTGAGTAAGTAAATAGCTTACTTACAAACAATTATTTGTTCTATGTATCTACAAACCATGTAGAAATCGCGTAGAGCCTAACTGGAAACAGATTATTAATGAATGCAAGTTGCAATCATTGCAACTTTAATATTTAAAATATTCATTGCATCATTTGCTATAAACAAATTATATATTAATAATAATCATTTAATATTCCTGATATAATGCGTTTTCTCATCAAAATGAGCAAGTATTTCGTGTTACATACAGACTTACAATCACTCAAAAAGAGAATATTTAAGATTCCAGATACACATAGCAAAAGCTAAGCATCTTTTCTTATAATAGCTAGCGGTAAGTACTTTCTACTAAAAGGCGAGGACATAGGTTTTCAGTGAAAGAACGTGGGTGGGTGAGATGGCACAAATACGCATACTTTGTTAATGTTATGTTTTTAAATTAAATTATATCTACATTCGGGCGCACACACACACACACACATACATACATACACACATACACACAAACTTCACGCGGATAACTTATCTTTTAAATAGAGAGAGAAAAGAGAAAACTGGCATTACGAACGTGTTAGTGTTCTGGTCTGCATAGCAAAGAAGTTTATAATTTATATATATAAGAAGCCGGTGATTGCCTTCATTCATTTTTATGTGCACAGAGAAAGAAACGTTGAGCGAGTTTGTAAAAAAATTGTCTTAATTATAAAAATAAAATAATACTTTAGTTTTGATTTAACGATTAAAAAAATCAAAAAAAAATTTACAAACTCCAAAAAAATACGAGTACTAATTCTGAATTCAGTCTCTCCCTCACACACACTGACTTTTTGGTAAGACTGAATATTGTTTGTATAATTATTAAATTTACTTTGTTGAAATGTTTGGACTGTAAGCGAAATGCAGTAGTAAAACAACCAGTGTGGGATAAAGTCAAAACTAAGCGTGTTCACTTTAGAGGGGTGGTACACGCCCATCCCAATAAATTTAACATCTTGATTGATAAATTAAAATATAGAGAAGATTATAGGAGGAAATGATTCTAAGTTCTTGCAATTTTTCCTAAAATATTTTTGCCAAACAAAGAAAGAAAGAAGGGGGGAAAAAAGAAAGAAAGAAATACCCGCCCTGGTTAGCTATATTTATTTGTATTTTCTTTGAATCCACAAGTACAGACAACTGTTTTTAATAATTTAATAAAAATGAGAGATTCCTACATAAAAAAAAAGGCAACTTGATCTTTTTTTTTTGTTGTTGTTCAATTAAAAGATAAAAAGAAAGAAAGAAAAAAAGAAACCCCCTTTTTTTTTAATATAGTAATTCAAGATCTTTTATAATTTTTAAAAGCGAACTGGAGTGGGTAAGAAGAGTGAAAAAGAAGAAAGCCGGGGCAGAGTCCATCTCGTCTCTCGTCATACACCCACAGACTACAAACCAATTCTGGAAAATCATATGTATTTTCGATCGCTATTTTTATATTTCTATCGAATGTAGCGAAAGAATTTAAAATTCGTTTGTCTTTTACACCAGAAATCATGCAATTATGAACAGGTTTTAAAAAGCTAAAATCAAGATATATTTTTTTAACCTAAAAAAAAAAAAAAAAATCAGCGGATAAAAAAAGAAAAAAAAGGAAGTGAAATGTAACATAACGATATCTGACATTATAAGATAAATAATTTATTTTTACTTTTATTTTTCTCTAAATTACCGAATATAAATAAAAATCACAATAATGAAATCAATAATTAAATTATTACAGTATTTCCGCATAACTGACGACATCCAACTGCTGGAAAATATTTTAAAATTCTTTTCAGTTTTGACAATTCTTTTTCAATTCTCATATAAATCAGATTCTCTAGCATAAAAAAAAACGTCTTACTCTTAACGTAAAAGTGTTGTAATAATATAGAAAGTTATTTTTAAAAATATGCCAAGGGAGGTGTGCTTCCACACCCACCGTTTTTCCGTTCTCAGTCTGACTCGTTTAATTGTCTGCAATTTAGTTGCTGGAGTAGAAAAATGTTTTTTTTTTCTGTCTTTTAAACTGGACAAATATTTCGACAAGCCGAACACAAGTCCAGATATTAACATAAAATGTCACTTAGACAAAAATATTCATACTCTCCATTTTACTTTGCCGGTTGTAATTTACATTAGAAAAGTTAAAACTAAACTGTGTGTGTAGCTAGACAGGTATATCAATGTAGAGAGAGAGAGAGATGAAGACTGGCATAGATAAGAAGTTAGACGGGGACTGACATGTAGATGGAGATAGAGAGGCAAGGACTGACGTATAGATGGAGAGAGAGAGAAAGGGATTGACGTTTAAAAGGAGAGAGAAAGAAAGGAATTGATATATAGACTGTCTTTCCATCTATACGTCAATTCCTGACAGCTGAAGAGAGCGAGACACGATGGCCAACATATAGATGGAGAGACACGATGGCCAACATATAGATGGAGAGACACGATGGCCAACATATAGATGGAGAGACACGATGGCCAACATATAGATGGAGAGACACGATGGCCAACATATAGATGGAGAGACACGATGGCCAACATATAGATGGAGAGACACGATGGCCAACATATAGATGGAGAGACACGATGCCAACATATAGATGGAGAGACACGATGGCCAACATATAGATGGAGAGACACGATGGCCAACATATAGATGGAGAGACACGATGGCCAACATATAGATGGAGAGACACGATGGCCAACATAGATGGAGAGGGAAATATACGATGGCTAACATATTATAGATGGAGAGAGAGAGAGAGAGAGACAGACAGACGATGGTTAACATATTATAGATGGAGAGAGAGACAGACAGACGATGGTTAACATATTATAGATGGAGAGAGAGAGAGAGACAGACAGACGATGGTTAACATATTATAGATGGAGAGAGAGAGAGACAGACAGACGATGGTTAACATATTATAGATGGAGAGAGAGACAGACAGACAGACGATGGCTAACATATTATAGATGGAGAGAGAGACAGACAGACAGACGATGGCTAACATATTATAGATGGAGAGAGAGAGACAGACGATGGCTAACATATTATAGATGGAGAGAGAGAGAGAGACAGACGATGGCTAACATATTATAGATGGAGAGAGAGAGAGAGACGATGGCTAACATATTATAGATGGAGAGAGAGAGAGATACGATGGCTAACATATTATAGATGGAGAGAGAGAGAGAGAGAGACGATGGCTAACATATTATAGATGGAGAGAGAGAGAGAGAGAGACGATGGCTAACATATTATAGATGGAGAGAGAGAGAGAGAGAGACGATAGCTAACATATTATAGATGGAGAGAGAGACAGACGATGGCTAACATATTATAGATGGAGAGAGAGAGACAGAGACAGACGATGGCTAACATATTATAGATGGAGAGAGAGACAGACGATGGCTAACATATTATAGATGGAGAGAGAGAGACAGAGACAGACGATGGCTAACATATTATAGATGGAGAGAGAGAGAGAGACAGACGATGGCTAACATATTATAGATGGAGAGAGAGAGAGTGACAGACGATGGCTAACATATTATAGATGGAGAGAGAGAGAGACAGACGATGGCTAACATATTATAGATGGAGAGAGAGAGACAGACGATGGCTAACATATTATAGATGGAGAGAGAGACGATGGCTAACGTATTATAGATGGAGAGAGAGAGAGAGACGATGGCTAACATATTATAGATGGAGAGAGAGAGAGAGACGATGGCTAATATATTATAGATGGAGAGAGAGAGAGACAGACGATGGCTAACATATTATAGATGGAGAGAGAGACAGACGATGGCTAACATATTATAGATGGGGGAGAGAGAGAGAGACAGACTATGGCTAACATATTATAGATGTGGGGAGAGACAGAGAGACTATGGCTAACATAATATAGATGGAGAGAGAGAGAGAGACAGACGATGGCTAACATATTATAGATGGAGAGAGAGAGAGACAGACGATGGCTAACATATTATAGATGGAGAGAGACAGAGAGACAGACGATGGCTAACATATTATAGATGGAGAGAGAGAGAGACAGACGATGGCTAACATATTATAGATGGAGAGAGAGAGAGACAGACGATGGCTAATAATATTATAGATGGAGAGAGAGAGAGACAGACGATAGCTAACATATTATAGATGGAGAGAGAGACAGACGATGGCTAACATATTATAGATGGAGAGAGAGACAGACGATGGCTAACATATTATAGATGGAGAGAGAGAGACAGAGACAGACGATGGCTAACATATTATAGATGGAGAGAGAGAGACAGAGACAGACGATGGCTAACATATAGATGGAGAGAGAGGGAGAGACAGACGATGGCTAACATATTATAGATGGAGAGAGAGAGAGAGAGAGATACGATGGCTAACATATTATAGATGGAGAGAGAGAGAGAGACAGACGATGGCTAACATATTATAGATGGGGGGAGAGAGAGAGAGAGACAGACTATGGCTAACATATTATAGATGTGGGGAGAGACAGAGACTATGGCTAACATATTATAGATGGAGAGAGAGAGAGACAGACGATGGCTAAATATATTATAGATGGAGAGAGAGAGAGACAGACGATGGCTAACATATTATAGATGGAGAGAGAGAGAGACAGACGATGGCTAACATATTATAGATGGATGGAGAGAGAGAGAGACAGACGATGGCTAACATATTATAGATGGAGAGAGAGAGAGAGAGACGATGGCTAACATATTATAGATGGAGAGAGAGAGAGACAGACGATGGCTAACATATTATAGATGGAGAGAGAGAGACAGACGATGGCTAACATATTATAGATGGAGAGAGAGAGAGACAGACGATGGCTAACATATTATAGATGGAGAGAGAGAGACAGACGATGGCTAACATATTATAAATGGAGAGAGAGAGAGAGACAGACGATGGCTAACATATTATAGATGGAGAGTGAGAGAGACAGACGATGGCTAACATATTATAGATGGAGAGAGAGACGACGATGGCTAACATATTATAGATGGAGAGAGAGAGAGAGACAGACGATGGCTAACATATTATAGATGGAGAGAGAGAGAGAGACGATGGCTAACATATTATAGATGAGAGAGATACGATGGCTAACATATTATAGATGGAGAGAGAGAGATACGATGGCTAACATATTATAGATGAGAGAGAGAGAGATGATGGCTAATATATTATAGATGGAGAGAGAGAGAGAGAGATACGATGGACATATATTATAGATGGAGAGAGAGAGAGAGATACGATGGCTAACATATTATAGATGGAGAGAGAGATACGATGGCTAACATATTATAGATGAGAGAGAGAGAGATACGATGGCTAACATATTATAGATGGAGAGAGAGAGAGAGAGATACGATGGCTAACATATTATAGATGGAGAGAGAGAGAGAGATACGATGGCTAACATATTATAGATGGAGAGAGAGAGAGAGATACGATGGCTAACATATTATAGATGGAGAGAGAGAGAGAGATCCGATGGCTTACATATTATAGATGGAGAGAGAGAGAGAGATACGATGGCTAACATATTATAGATGGGAGAGAGAGAGAGATACGATGGCTAACATATTATAGATGGAGAGAGAGAGAGAGATCGAGGGGCTTACATATTATAGATGGAGAGAAAGAGATCCGATGGCTTACATATTATAGATGGAGAGAGAAAGAGAGATCCGATGGCTTACATATATTATAGATGGAGAGAGAAAGAGATCCGATGGCTTATATATTATAGATGGAGAGAAAGAGAGATCCGATGGCTTACATATTATAGATGGAGAGAGAAGAGAGATCCGATGGCTTACATATTATAGATGGAGAGAGAAAGAGATCCGATGGCTTACATATTATATGGATGGAGAAAGAGAGATCCGATGGCTTACATATTATAGATGGAGAGAGAAAGAGAGATCCGATGGCTTACATATTATAGATGGAGAGAGAAAGAGAGATCCGATGGCTTACATATTATAGATGGAGAGAGAAAGAGAGATCCGATGGCTTACATATTATAGATGGAGAGAGAAAGAGAGATCCGATGGCTTACATATTATAGATGGAGAGAGAAAGAGAGATCCGATGGCTTACATATTATAGATGGAGAGAGAAAGAGAGAGACGATGGCTTACATATTATAGATGGAGAGAGAAAGAGAGAGACGATGGCTTACATATTATAGATGGAGAGAGAAAGAGAGAGACGATGGCTTACATATTATAGATGGGGAAAGAGAGAGAGAGAGAGACGATGGCTTACATATTATAGATGGAGAGAGAGAGAGAACGATGACTAACAAAGAGAGAGATACCGACATATAGATGCAGGGAGGGAGAGAGAGAGACATTGGTGAGGTTACAGAACGGTATATGTATTGTAGAGAGAGTTTACTTTAGAAACAGACAGGGACTGACATATAGATGTGAAGAGAAACAGACAAAAATCATTGACTGGCATATAGAGCTAGAGATCCATAAACAATAAACAGGCTGAGAGAGACTGATAGAGAGAAACAGAGGTTGACAGTTGGGCCAAGTCGATAAAGAAAGACATATTGACTGACAGAGATCATAAGGCACACATATATTTAGATTTCTGTCTTTTCTTGTGTTTTGAAACACACCTGACTGATAAATCATTGCTGCTGAAAGAAGGCAAAATTACAATCAAACAATGTGATCTTACACACTCAGTGAAAACTGAAAAGGTTTTAGGAACGTTTTTAATTTATAATTTTTTTTATTTACACATATACAGCTTTTATATGTCATTGTCATACTTTCACTTTTGTCTTGCAAAAAAACAAACAAACATTTATTGTCCGACCTTTACATATTAGAAAATTTCTAATACCTCCATAATACATTGTATCTTCTTACCTCAAAGCACTAGCAAGCATTGACTTTTTTCTGACAAGTAACATGACATTTCTTTATCTGTAAGTAAGTGTAATGTACCAGATACGGTTAACGTTGGATTACTTAAGTAAGTAACAGTTGCAATCTCACATGATATTCCTGCAAATTACTAATTTTTATAAATAAACTTAGAAAGAAACCTTGACTCTCCTTTTGTGACAAAAATTTTAGATTTTTATTTTTACGCGCACCAAAAGGAAAGATATTTTTAAAAAGGTGGGTGTGTCACGACAAAGGTGATTTTTCCCCCCATTTCTTAATTATATACATATATAAATTTCCGGTTTTATTTATTTTTTTTTACTCTACATAGTAAATACCTACACCCCTATATTTAATTTTGTTTCCCCTCTTTTCCAGTTTGTGGGTTAGCAACACATAATTTCATCATTAATTAAATAATGAATTATATACTCTTTGCTAGTGTGTTGTAGTGTTCTTGTACTTACTACTGAAAGAGAGTGATATTATTATTTCAAACTTTAAACAAGATAATAAAGAGACATGAAAATAAAATCGAAGCTAAAATCGAAAATGATTTTTCTTTAACTAGAATTAGAGAAGATGTTTTAATATATGCAAAACTAAAACAAATGCATTTTTAGAGATATTTTTTTTACTATTTGCTAGTTGCAAAAGCAAAATAAGAAAAAGACAAACAAACTCATATTTAATATATTATAATGTATAAACAACTGTTATTCATGCTGATTGGAAAATGACATTTCATTTATAATTTTAAAGCTTAAGAAGGAAGTGAAAATATGCATGACAAATAATAAAACAAAATGGGGATCAGTCTGGCTTTATTTCGACTACAAAAACTGATCACCCATTTTTCGCCCACTATTAAAAAAAATTAAAATTAAAAGCAAAAACGGTTGTAAGGTTAAGGAATTATTAATAAATTATTTTTAAAAGCTTAAAAGAAATAATTAAGTGAATGATCTATAAAACAAATTCATAAAAATATTTGGGGTTTGTTTTTTTTTCGCTAAAATAAAAAAAAAAATGGTCACCCTATTTCATTGTGCAAATAAAAGCAAGAAACGAAATAAAAAAAAATAAATGTTGATATCTTTCTTCACCATTAGAAGAAAGAATATGAAAGGAAAAAAAAAAAAAAAGATTCGTGGCAAGTGTTCATAAAATGGGGGAATAATCTGGGTTTGTTTTGTATATGTAAATCGGTCACCTTCTTTTCGACCACCTTGACAAATATAAAACTAAAAGAAAAAAAACAGACACCCCCTTCATCAAATACAAGCGATAAGCAAGCAAAGAACATGACAGAAGAAAAATTCAAAGACAAGAGAAGCCATACATATCTTTATGCATATATCTTTTGTTGAATTAATTCTTCTAGTTTTCTTTTTTTCTATTTCTCTTGCCTGTTTTGTAGGGGGTGTATGTATAAAAATAAATAAATAAACATCACTCACCGCTTTCAATGCCGCAAGTCTATCCTTAGTCATTTTCCGTACACTGCTATGTCAAGATCCCAAAAGCAAAAGTGATCACAACGTCCAACTAAAATACTCCTTTTATTTATATATATACATATATACATACATACATATAGATATTATATATATTTATTTATTTATATATATATAATAATATAAATGTATAATTATATATATTATATATTATAAGCCTTTAAGCTCGTGTTGTTGTGTATGTATAGAATTTTTTTCCCTTACTGATTCTTTCTCTATATGTGCATGTATAGGGCTCTACAGTGTGTACAATACATATATATCGAGAGAAATAGATATATATATATTTACATGAATATATATATATCTATAACTGGGTGTCCTGGATGGAGTTTAAGCGGCTCCCGATAAGTGAATCAATAGAATTTTAATATTTTTCCTCCTTCTCCGCAAAACCCCGCACCCATACTGCACCTCTTTCAAGGGAGATAACCAGATGACTTCATATTATGCTAATAACATTTTATTAAATGGTCTCGTGATTTCTTTCGTATTTTTAATGAACTCAAATCATTTTTCCTCCCACTCTTGTTTCATTTTACTTCTGAAAAAAAAATCGATTAAGCAAATATACAGAGAATAATAAATTATATCATATTAGACAACATTGAGTTTTTTTTCTTATTCCGACCGTTTATACTACAACATTTCTTCATTCCTTTTTTTTTTTTTTTTACTGTGTACTTAGTACGAGAGAATAGCAGTACAAATATAGATGAATCTTTCTCTTTTTAATTGATCTGATAAATAAATAAATATTATTCATAATAATGAATGCATAATGAATAAATCTGCTTTTTCTTTCTTTTCTCCTTTTTTTACTTCACTTTATATCTGGGTATTTTTTTATTTCATTTATTTTTAAATAGCACCGGCAAAATCTTCAAAAAAAAAAACTGGATTTAAAAAAAGATAAAAATAAAAAGCAAGTCAAAAAAAAAAACAATCTCTGAAGCTGTTTTTATTGAAATCCATTAATTTAATATAACAGATACTCAGATACACGATATAATTCTTTTTCTAACGATTTCTTTATTTTAAATATTTTTTCCCTGTTTTATTTATTTCTTCGTTTAAATTTGGTTTAAAGAGCGAGTGCAATTGCTAGAAAAGGTTATTCATGGAATTCAAGATTCTCTCAATTTCTCTTTCATGTTATTGCTCTCTCGTTCTTTCTTGCTCTCCCTCTCTTCAAAAAC